GTGATTTGCATTGTGAAATGTGAAGTGTGTATTTTCAAGCATTTCTTTGAAATGAAAAGTACGATATTGCACACTGTACTACGTAGCAATCGGTACGGTTGTTTTACGTAATTGCTTTCGTTTGTGAACTCAGTGTTTAAAAATACCCTTAAAAAAAGGAAACACAATACAGATATTTTTGGCCATAAAGCAAGATTAGCGGACTAAGAGGTGCAAAATGAAGAGTGTCAGTGACACATTTCCCGGATCAAAATCATCACAACAAGAACATGGAAACAATTAGGTTGGAAACACGAACGGTTCGGAAAAACGCACTCGGTGCATTACCAAAAGGGCTATGGAGCTGCACGTACTGCACGTGCAGCAGCACTATGAACTGTCTCAAAGTGAGGGTTTGTGATTGCCTGGCATCTGCGACAATCGAACAGTGACAGTTCAACAACATGCCAATATTAACAGACGTGCAAAGAAACAACGTCATAGGCCACTTGCAGGCAGGGGAATCCCTATCATCTGTAGTCAGGGTTTTCAATGTAGCAACCAACACCATCACACGGCTATGGGATCGGTTTCAACACGTGATCAGCCAAAGTCGGGACGATAACGAGTAACCACCCCCGCCCAAGGTCTACATCTGACTGCGCCACCTTCGTAAAAGGACGACCACAATCACCTCAGCCGCATCAGATATACCTCGACTGCGCAGAATATCCGACCATACAGTATGAAGCCGTTTAAGAGCAGCAGGTCCACAAGCAAGACGTCCTGTTCGACACATCATATAGAGTCGACACCATCGTCAACAACAACTGCATTGGTGTAGTCAGCACAGGGTATGGCCTCAACTGGGACGGAGAGATGTCTGGTTCTGCGAATCAAGATTTCTCCTCCGTCGAGAGGATGGAAGAGCACGGGTCTACAGACGTCGGGGAGGACGTTACGCTAGAAAATGTGTACAGGTTTGGTGGGCCCAGGGGTAGGGTAATTATGTGTGTCTCTCGTCGTGGCAGGACAAGTTTGGTCCATATCCAGGGCAATCTTATGGCTATACGATACACCACCCCGGATTTCAATCCAAAAGAGCACCTTTGGGATGAATTGGATAGACGGCTAGGCCGACGTCAACCACAACCTCAGACGTTGCAGCAGTTGGCTTTTGCGTTGCAGGCCGAGTGGGCTGCCATTCCCCAGGATGTGATTCACACACTCGTCTCTTCCATGGGCAGATGTCAGGCCTCTATCGATTCTAACAGGGGGCATACGCGTTATTGATGGTAGCTGAGGCCAAGAAATAGTGGGTCGTGTATAATTTTCTTATTTGTGCCTGTTCTGAAAAGAATTTCATCAAGTTTAACTTCAATGACGTCGGGACATTGTTTCGTGGCTTTTCGAATGGACGAGTGTTTTCTGAGTGATGGACTTTCAAATCCTCTTCTGCCAAATCCTTACGATGGTGGTTGATGGAGATGGCAACAAATATCGATCACAAAAAGGTTTGTAAACAACATGTCATGAATACGGTTTTTCCAACCAATCTTTTAAATGTTATATTTTACTTACATTTTCCGGTTGTTTCAATGAGGAAAAACAGTTTCAAAAACATTTCATTTGTATGCAAAAGCTATGCCTTCATTAAATCTTTAAATGTCATCATCGAAGCAGTCAGGGTTGCGGCCTAGATTGCCCAAAACATACTATATCAAACTACTGTATTTCCTCTATTTGAAGCTATGATAAAACATATTGTACATGTTGTATGTGATACAGCATACAACCATAAAGGTATACGTTTTTGCTACATAAATTACCGTATATCGCCACTGATCTTACTGACTGTTTGTTTAATGTGCAAAAACAAAATGTGAATACGTTCTAAATCACCTTGGTGCCGTTTTACAAAAGCCTCTTAGCGCTACGACCTCGTAAACCATGTCAAAACTTTTAAGGCCGTTTCACAAAGACCTCTTAGTTTACACTACGTCGTAAAATCACCCTAAATCTACGACAGCCCTAGGGCTCTCCTAATGTAGTTACGACCTCGCAAATTCAAACGATCATGGCGACACATGCATTCCTTTTAAAAATTATTAACAGAAATGGTATCAGGAGAGAACGTGTTTTCAGGGACAGAAGTCGGCATAAGATGTTTTGGATGATATTGATTTGATTTCGCGATATCGATTCCCGAGACATGTCATCATTGAACTGGTGAATCGAGTTGATGAACAGCTGTCTCGACCGACTCAGCGTTCACGTGCACTATCTACAGAGGTCCAAGTGTTGTGTACCTTGAGATACTTTGCTAAAAGGGGGCCTTTACAGTGAGATCGGCGACATTCACGGAGTTAGCAAGTCAAGCGTTTCCAGAGTACTTGTCGATACCACGTCCGCCATTCTCTGTACCGTCCGACTGATACATTTTCCAGCACTGGCCAAGCACAGACAACTTATGGAAGAATTCCACCAAATCTGTGGTTTCCCAAAGGTTCTTGGATGTATTGACTGCATTCTCATCCCTATACAGAGGCCTAAATTAGACGAGGTCGCCTATCACGAAAAGGTTACCACGCTGTCAATGTTCAGGCAGTGGGCCACGCGAAACTTCGGTAACTATAAATAACACGTCCTTGACCCCTTTACCGGAAATGTTGTTCATAAACTTGCCAAGACTTTATGAAGTAATAATTGGCGGCGCTCGATAGTAGAGTTTAACTACAGAATGTCATCCATACCTTATGAACTTTGGAATAATGTATATACTAATTCTGAATTATTTTTTTTCAATAATAATTAATTAACATGAATAATATGGTTTTTTTAAAATAGTAACTAAGGAAGAGATTTCTTATCTCGATAGACCTTATTATAAGCAAACAGTAGCTAGGGATAATTGTTAAATTTGTTTTCCAGTTTCACCAATGTTGTTGTCTTGTGGCCAGGGGCAACCCATGATGCTCACATCTACAACAACTGTTCACTTAAGAGAGCTTTGGAGGAAGAAAAACCAGATGGATGGCTGCTTGGTGATTCAGGGTAGAAACATTGTTGAAATTCAACATGAGTTCCTTTGCCTATATATCGATAATGACTTGTCTGTATCAAAGTAAGCAATCCATAAATCTAATTCCTTACATATTATCTCACTCTGAAACCTTTTCAATCAACCATTTTACTTATATAGTTGATCGAATTGAATTATTTGTAAAACATATGTGAGTGGTGACTGCAAGAGAAAACAGGAAAAAAAATAAAGATGTTAAATAATTACTATCATTCCCCTGTATATGTTTACATTGACATGTAAGAAGTAAAACAATGGTTCTGAATAGGTTTGTTATATACAAATTAAATATGCTCTGAAAATAAATTATACATCATGCAGTTACAGATATGCATGTAAACCGCATCTACTGACCCCAGTACTGACCCCAGTACTGACCCAGCCAACTCCAGTGAGGAGAGGTACAATAGGGCCCACATTGGTACCCGCAACACCATAGAGAGGGCCTTTGGAGTGTCAAATCAAGATTTAGGTAAGTATATACATGTTCTTTTGGGGTTCTATAAGAAAGTATTCTTGAATGACTAATGTTAATTTACAGTAATTACTAATGTAGCCAGTGATGTCAGATTCTGAGACACAACTTATTTTACAGGTGCTTGCACAAATCCTCGGGGTGCCTGTTATTTGAACCCGAAAAATGCATACCTGTCATCACTGCATGCATGCAGCTTCACAACCTTGCAGTAAGCCTGAGACTTCCAGTTCCCCACGACACACCTGACACTGGTATAGGAGGTGATGAGAACCACACAGCTCATCAGCAGGCCCCTAGTGATGATGGAAATCAAATCAGGAGACTTCTCATCCAGTCTAGATTTTCAAGTATGACAAAAAACACACGATCTATGTAGAATGATTAAGCTGCTTTTATTTCAATAATGATTAAGGTTCATATAGTTAAAACTTTATGATTGAAGACAGCAAGCTGTTACTGTCCATGGTTTGCAGGAACTGAAATTTTTCTCTTTCCAGGTTGGGCCTCTCCTGCTGAATCCCACCTAAGCTCACACAGAATGCCCTCAAGGAGCTGCCCTTTCCTGTCTCCATACCCGGACAGCGTCTTCATGTAGTCATCCCCTTTATCTGACAAACAAAGATTATTTATTCCATTCAGTGTGACAACTTTGTTAATTGGGTCATGCACTCTTGGACACCATAAAGCTATGTCTTAAGGATATTTTATATCAAAATTTAAAGAATTATTCAAAATTATAATTGTTAAGTGAAGGTTAATGTTATTATTTACCTTGAACTGATTGTGATAATCTCTTCCTTATATTTCCACCAGTAGCTCTATGGGATGGGGTAGCTTGATTGTTTGATGCTGCTGTAACATAATTATACATTATGTGTATTTACATTGAAAGGATGACTGAAAGAGAGGGCTGTTCACAAATAACAACTTCCTGTTACTGATTACTGTGAATGAATATTTTCGCATTTTAACATGACTGGTAAATGGTCTATGAACTGATTAATAGTTGGGATAACAGTAATCGCTTAGCCATTTAACAATTGATGTATTACAATAAAAAAAACATAATGTAATACATGTGATTATAAGTTTCTTCAGAAATATGGAAACTTAAGTGTATTTACAAGCTGGTTCCGGAAGACAGCTCTGTGCCTCTGTAAGATATATTGGAGGGGCTTACATGTAATTCAGTACATATTAAAATATAGTGAGGATGTCTGGATTGATGTAAGCATAGGAATATTTCGTTAATAATATTAAATTTGTTTGTTCTAAAAAGTTTAGTCATGGAAACATTTATAGGAATCTGAGCTCACTCCTACCCCATTCTTTCAATTTCCTACTTGACAGAGCTCTGACATTTATTGTCACTAATTTCTATGTTAGTTTCATGTTAATGTGTACATCTAGAATAAACAACAAGTTCTTTTTAAGGTTTTTTATTATTTATAATTTTTACCTGAGTTTGGTGTTAGGGCAGTTTGGCTGTCATTTTCGAAGGCATCAACAGCCATGCCAAAACACATATCTACTTCTGAAATAGAGATTCAATTGTTATTAATTCAGGATGTAAATAATGCAACAGAGATAATATACATTTAAGCAACATGCTTTATTTATTATGTTTTCAGTATGTTCAGTGAAGAAAAGCTATAGTTAACTTTATTCCACTGTGTAAATGAAAAAGTATCAAGTGAAAATTTAAAATTTTCAGGTGAATGATTTATTTTACCTATTTCTTCGGCCTGTGTCCCTGAGCCAAAAGTACAGTTGGATTCCTCCCTTAAATCTGGAACTGAAACAATTGCAGGATATATTATTGATTGGAAATAGTATTAATATGTGTCAAATATTTGAAGAAAACACATTTATATTCAGTTAATATTTTTTTCTTCTTCAACCACATTGACTTTAGCTCAGTAATATGATTTGTAATTCCTATGTATTGTATAAAAATAAATATTTTGTTTCTTTAGGTAAATGTTAAAAATGTGATACTTGTGAATGCACATATCAGGGGACCCGTGAAGATCTGGGTGAGATATCAGGAAAAATCAATTTCCATTTGAATATACAATATTACCTGGTGATTCAATGCCTCCAGGAATCCCCTCCACTGCACATCGAGAAATCAACTGTAGGATCTAGAATAAAAGCAAATGATTATTTATTTCTAAGAAAATTATGTCTTTTGTGTGATTTAATGATAGTACATATCATTGTGTACTGAAAAAAGTGTATCACTGAAATATTTTATTTACCCTTTTTTCCATTGAGGAGAATTCATCAAGGGGTGCCCCCCCCCACCGGTTTTTCTTTGGTTTTCCCTCCTTCCACTTTCTGCCTTAAAACCGCTGCCATTTTTCGTATCTTCTCCTCGTTTCTTGCTGCAGTGCCACTTGCATTGATTCTAAAACAGTTAAATTTGCCTTTTTTGACAAACAATTCTTTGATTCTTATTCTATTTCATTATTTGTGAAATAATGTTTTATTACATAAAACTTTTTCAATTATTGGCATTGATATTTACATTTTAGGGACGCTTTATGTACACTCAATTGTCAACGTCTCACGAGAATTAGGACTTAGTTTTGTGTGATGTCTGACCATATTTTCTTCTTAGAGGCATTTGTGACAGAATTCGTGAATGACGAATTTAGTGTGTCAATATTCGCTTCCACGCCGGCTAAGAGTACTTCAATTTCGCCGGGTCCAAAATTTCTTTTCCGCTTTTTGCTATTGGTTGATGCGTCCATAATATGCTACATTTTCTCGCTTTGCCGAAAGGGGGAGTAACTCTAATCATGCTTCATTCTTATTTTCAAGGAAGAAGAGTTAAAGAGATTACACTTGAATTGTCTTCAAATAATCGCCCGAATATTGATCTTTTATTCTGTGAATATATGATTACGACCAATTTCTGAATAGTAGTATGCTTTCAGGTCATGCTTACCTTTTAAATCTCTGGATCGGGAACTGTCTCAATGTGAAAAAGGATACCGATCGATCATCAGCCCATCAAATTGACAGGTGCCCTTTCACTTCCGTGTCCCGTTGCTATGTTAAATACGATGTCGTAAGGTCTTGCGACATCCTAGTGTAAGATTGACTTTACGATGCTGTTAAGATGCTTACGTGAAACGGTCGTAAGGAGATCCTAAAGAGGGTCGTAAACCTCTTAGGAGGTCGTAGCGCTAAGAGGCTTTTCTGAAACGGCACCCTATTTCGATTTGGCAACGTGATAGTTCGTGTGACGTCACCTTTATTCACGAGTCTGTTCCACCAAACTACTTCTTGTGGCATTATGGCTTAAATTCGCCCTGTATGGCTACAAAATAGCATCGTTTCTATCTAAATGCATTGTTTATTCCTACATAGCCGTAACACGACGTACTATAACTTCTGTCACTGGTGGAATGCAATTTCCCCGCGTTGCACCAACCGTATCCTGGAGCCGAGAGATTACTTCCGGTATGACGTCACTTTGTCGACAGTTATACCAGATGTAATGAAAATCTCAGGCTGGAGAGAGATTGCGAGAGATGTGATCCACGTATTTTATATTTCTTATATATATATATATATATATATATATATATATATATATATATGTATAGGCTCTCTGATGTGTGGCTGTTGCCAGTGCTTTTGAAAAACATGTATGCATTTCATTTACAATTATAAACTTTGTCAGACAATGCTTTTTTGAAATTTAATGAAAAAAATAAACTATATAACTGTAGATATAACAAGAAATTCAAATGGATTGAAACTTTGTTTTTAGAAAACCTAAATTTGACAAGCGAGTTCTCTGGGTGATATAATGTACAGCGACTTAACATCTGCCAGTTTACCGTGAGACCCTAGTTTTCACGACCTTTCTAACAAGGTTAGCGGAATGCAAGGAGCAGTTACATGAAAGTAAGCCAATTTTGTGTGGATACCTAGATAAATGTATCCAACACGAAATACTAAATGTATGAATCTCAAAACGAATTTATGTCCATCACTAAGCAATGCGTTTTGTGTAAACTCAATGACGATTTGTAGTTGTGATTTGTGTGTCTTCTGGGGTGAGGGTGGGAGGGACTGTTTGTTGATATTAAGAAGGGATGTACATGATGTGATGACCAGGCTATTTAGCTGCACTTAGTGAGTGGGAGAAACCATTATTCTGATGTGCTGAAAAGCTATGGACTTAATTAATGATTGAAATGGTTTCATGTCTACAAACAAAGTTAATGTAAATCTGAACAAATTATATATTTTCATCTGAATAATTTCATCAATGAAACGAAATGCTCACAGATATAGGTACATATCGTCAAAGGTTCAGAACCAATTGTCAAACATGAAAGTAAATGTCATCGCATGTGCACCGAGATAACATCATGTGAAATACTGGACAGCATGTGAAATCTGGGGATGAGACATCTTTTGGCATCCCCATGGGCACCAATTATGCTCTTCTTCTGAAGTTTAACTTAAGTTTCAGGTTATATCGATGAACAGATATCGCTCAATAGCGGTCAAACAGTCAATTCCCAGCCCCGATTTACCTACTGAACTGGAAATAAAAGAGACCAGTGAAACTGCCTCATCTGTTTCAAACTAGGATAATTGTATTAAGATTGTCAGAAAATATCTGTCCATTAGACTATGACAAGAGGGGTGACTCCAACTTTCCAATAGTACAGTTTACTTTATGTCGAGCAATATTCCTGCAGCTCCAGCCTATTGAGGTATAATAGGCCAGGCCCTTTCCACGAATGTTGAAAAAGCCTCATATGACTCTTACTTAAAAAATATATTTGATCTGTGTTACAACCTTCAAGGCCTCTGTAGAGCTATCAAACGGTGGTAGACGTATGGAGGACATTTTCAAATTTGACGCATCAGTGACCAAATTCGCTGTATTGACAGAGAGCAATTGACTTGCCTTCGTACGTGTTTGTGACGCGTGTTGCTGTGGAGGAGGATAAGCTCACCTCGAAAATATCTGGTATTTGATAGTGATTCATGACCACGTAGTAATGATGATTTTGTAAATGTAATTTTGACACTTTTATATTTATCATAATATATGTGAATGTGTTAGGGAAATATATTGTTTGACAATTGTCGAGCATAAAGATGAAAAGTGAAATAATAATATTGATTATATTTTCTCTAAAACCTACATTTTTGACGGGTCTAGCACGATTTTCTAAAAGAAATAAAGCCATCTGGAGCTGCCTGCTGTTCTGGTGATGACAGTTGTTTCGACGACCCTTCTCCCCAGGTATCAATGCCAGATGCACAGTACATAATGTCTATTTCACAACTGGACTACGTTAGTTATTCACTGAAACAATGAATATTTTACATGAACAGTAAACTAGGGCTATAACGAACTCAAAGGGACCACTAATGTTTGTTCATTATAACCAAAGTTCGTTATGAGCATATATACAACATATATACAGCAAACAGACGGAACAACACGGGGCAGGAAATCAAAAGTGTAGTTAATTCTAGGCGCTGATAACTTCGAGAAAACCATGTGTGATTATATTTGTTTGAATGTTAACCTGTAATTACAATAAGGACATTTAGTATAATATGTCACATAGGGTCACTTGGGAAGAATGGTGGTTTTATACAAAGTGAGAGTCCCACCAATCCATTTTTCTGTTTTACTTTCTTATGGTCTTACAACATCACGCAGTAAAGCAATAGCGTCAGCTTGTAATGGCTTCCAAGCTTAAGTTCAGTATATGTATAAACCTGAATAAACTATAGGTTCTCTGATGTGTGGCTGTTACCAGTGCTTTGGACAAACCATGTATGCATTTCATTTACAATGATCAACTTTGTCATACAATGCTTTTCTAAAATATAATGCAAATACTAAACTATATAACTGTATATAAAACAAGGAATTCAAATGAATTGAAATTTTGTTATTAAAAGAACTATATTTGACAAGCGAGGTCTCTTGGTGATTGATATACAGCGACTTAACATCTGCCAGTTTACCGGGAGACCCTAGTTTTCACGACCCTTCTAACTAGGTTAACGGAATGCAAGGAGCAGTTACATGAAAGTAAGCCAATTTTGTGTGGATAAATGTGTCCAACACGAAATACTCAATGTATGAATCTCAAAACGAATTTATGTCCATCACTAAGCAGTGCGTTTTGTGTAAACTCAATGACGATTTGTAGTTGTGATTTGTGTGTCTTCTGGGGTGAGGGTGGGAGGGACTGTTTGTTGATATTAAGAAGGGATGTACATGATGTGATGACCAGGCTATTTAGCTGCACTAAGTGAGTGGGAGAAACCATTATTCTGATGTGCTGAAAAGCTATGGACTTAATTAATGATTGAAATGGTTTCATGTCTACGAACAAAGTTAATGTAAATCTGAACAAATTATATATTTTCATCTGAATAATTTCATCAATGAAACGAAATCCTCACAGATATAGGTACATATCGTCAAAGGTTCAGAACCAATTGTCAAACATGAAAGTATATGTCATCGCATGTGCACCGAGATAACATCATGTGAAATACTGGACAGCATGTGAAATCTGGGGATAAGACATCTTTGCAAGAAGTTGGCATCCCCATGGGCACCAATTATGCTCTTCTTCTGGCTGATCTGTTTCTAATGCATATGAATAGGACTGTCTGCTCGGATTCCCAAAATCAAAACAAAGTAAATTGCCCAAGAAGTTTAACTTAAGTTTCAGGTTATATCGATGAACAGATATCGCTCAATAGCGGTCAAACAGTCAATTCCCAGCCCCGATTTACCTACTGAACTGGAAATAAAAGAGACCAGTGAAACTGCCTCATCTGTTTCAAACTAGGATAATTGTATTAAGATTGTCAGAAAATATCTGTCCATTAGACTATGACAAGAGGGGTGACTCCAACTTTCCAATAGTACAGTTTACTTTATGTCGAGCAATATTCCTGCAGCTCCAGCCTATTGAGGTATAATAGGCCAGGCCCTTTCCACGAATGTTGAAAAAGCCTCATATGACTCTTACTTAAAAAATATATTTGATCTGTGTTACAACCTTCAAGGCCTCTGTAGAGCTATCAAACGCTGGTAGACGTATGGAGGACATTTTCAAATTTGACGCATCAGT